GCATCCACTTGTTCCACAGTCCTTCCTATTCTTTGAACATGAAACTTTTAAGCTCCCAATCAAAGGCATCTCCATCATTTTCCTCAGAATTCTACTGATTACCCTACTGAAAACTTCATTCTCCTGAAATTTTTTATCAAAACGTCTCTCTTGGCCCTTATGAAGCTTTTAAGGCCTCGTTCAGGGCAACTTTCTTATTGTTTTATAAAATAATTTTAAAAAAAAATTGAATTTGAATTTTTTGTACAAAAAAGCTGCTTTATAAGACTATAAGAAAGATATCCCAAATGAAGCTTAAGGTTTTGTTTGGGATTGCTTTTATACTGATTTTTAAAACGGCTTTCTAGTACAAAAATTTCAAATTCAAGAAATTTTTATACTAGAAAGTTATTTTAGATAGCAAGAAGAAATTCATCCCAAACGAAGCCTAAGTCTATCTCTCTTATTGTAAGTTTGACAAATGTACGCATCCCTATCGAAGTCCTCCCTCATCTACTAACAAATCACATGTGTCTTTCACTGCAACCTACTTTAGTTTTAATCAAAACATACAATGCTTTAATTTATGAAATTTTTTTGAGACATTTAGGTCAATTAAAACAAATTTAAACACACACCACATGCATAAGATTCAAACTCAAAACCTTTCAGTTGATAGCTAAAACTCCAACATACCAAAGTGAGATGTGTAAATCTATGTAATTTTATTGTTAAATTAGATTGCTTTCATTTATGCTTATTTCACTAGGAAAAAATGTTTGTAGCTCTTTGTTGGCTCAAGAAAAACGGCACGAGTGCATGAATCTCGATTTGTTTCTATAGGATTTCATTTCTCTTAAGTAAGATCGTAGTTAACCATATTTCCCCTGAGGGTAGTGTTAGGATTTAATTAGATCTGAGGTCCTTACTTCTCATGAGCGCAAGCACTCATAGTTAATTACTCCTCTTACTACTTAAGATAAAACTCTCGATTAAGGATGAATAAATTTTAGGTAATTAGTCTCAATTGTGGAAAAAAATGGAGGTAAACCCGATCAAGATCCCAGGGTTCCGTCATCCCGGGTATACCGTAGTTTCAATCTACCAACACTAACAATCATTGATCGTAGTATCCAGGAAATCTGATTAGCAGCCATGAGTTGCCTCCTCTCAAGGATCCCGAGTTGACTGAAATGATTAAATGTGGGTTTTAATTTTGTTGGGTGTTTTGGGGTTTACATCTATTAGAATACTCAAAAATTAATTTAGTTTGAGATTTATGACTTCATTTAGAAGTAACCCAGGAGTTTGGATTGGAGCGGGTCTTATGACTTCTTTAAGAAGGTAACCCAGTTATTTAGATTTATGTTGGGACTTAAATCTTTCATAGAAAGTAGCCCGGGGATTTGATTTATAATGGGGCTTATTGCTCTATTTACGAGTTGCCCAAAGATTGGTCTTACAACCTAACTCTACAGCAAGACTGTCAAGATGTTTTAATTATTTGCATAGGATTTATGACTTCCCTTAGGGAGTAGCCTAAAAAAGCGGGTTTGATAATTTAATCCCTTAAGTTAAGATACCCATTAATTTTGATTGGAAGGTTGGTTGGAAGATTCAGTGGCTTCCTTAGAATATGCTTAGTTATTTGTAGGAGCATTAGGGTTGTTATACTTTATTTTAAAAGTATCCTTAACACATGAGCCTTACGACTTTACTTAGAAGTGGCCCGTTGACGGGTCTTACTACCTAACCCTATAGGCTAAGATGCCCGTAGGCTTTAATTATTTGGGTAGGATATCCTACGATAAAAATTCCACATGCTTTCAACATAAGAATTAATATCAAAATTATTGTATTTCAAAGCATTATTTAAATATGAATCTTGAGGCTTTTGCCTTAATTTTTCAACAAGAGTTGTCCATGTGATTAGATTGGATAGGGACTTATGGCTTTCATTAGAAAGTAGCCCAAATTAGTGGAACTTACAGCCTCTACCAGAGGTAGCCCGAATATTTTAGTTGGATATGTCTTAGTGCTTTCTTAGAAGTTGCCTAATAATGGGTCTTACGACCTAGCCCTGTAAGCTAAGTGGCCCAAATTATGGGTCTTACAACCAAGCCCTATAGACTAGGATGCCCGAATGAGGGGTATAGGGTTGTATTATCACCTAATTATTTCCCTCAGAGGTCAGACTTACGATTTATATTAGAAGTTGTCAGGGGATGGGTCTTACAACCTATTTCTTATAAACAAGGCTGCCCGGGTGAGAGGTCTAGATTTGTGTTGTCACCTAAACATTTCCCTCAGAGGTCGGAGTTACAACTTCTATTAGAAGTGGCCGGTTGATAAATTTGGGGATTAGGGGTTAGGTCATTTTCACCTAAAGATTTCCTCTAAAGTCGGACTTACGGCTTTCATTGAAAGTTATCGGATAATGAGTCTAATAACCGAATTCTTATAAACAATGATTCCCATGAATTTTGTTTAGATTTGATTGTATGTTTGTTGAGTTGACACCAGTTGTTTGACACTTAGTGTTTTGCTACAATACTTTGCTAGGCTAGTATTTTTACTATAGTACTTGTCTTCTTACTATTTGGTAGCTTATTTTCGGTACATGTATACTAGTAGCATTTTTTTATTTTAGCATTTATTTGAATATTGAATTATTCCAATGTTTAATAAACTTCACTTTTTTATTTGCAGGGATCTCGGACAGGAGAGTTGGAGCCTTGTTGTGGAGAGCCTGCTGAGTGTTTCAATGTTGAGAGTTAAGTTGTTGTTGGAATGTTTGGGAGTTTGAGTTTGAATTGTTATTGGAGAGTTTGACAGTTGTTTGTTTGGAAAGGGTTTGAAGAGTTTTGAGGGCATATTATTATTTTAAGAATTGTTTGTACATGTTTGAGTCTATATATGTCAAAAAGTTAAAAATATTCTTCCCCCTCTCCATTTTGATTTATTGCATTATTTATTAAACAAATAATTCATTTTTGATTAATTAACTTAATTAACCAAAAGTCTTAAATTTTTTTTAAATAACAGCTCTCATATTTTAAAACTCTTAAAATTTTAAAATTATTGTATTTGAAATTTTCAATTAAAAATGTTATCGTATTTTAAAACTTTCAAATTTCAAAATGCTCTTGGGATTTTTCTTTAAAATAATCAATCAATTAATTTCAATTAATTTTGATTAATTATTTTTTTAATTGATTAATCAAAGATTCAAATTTAATTGCTCTATAATTATTCTAAAAAGTTTTGTAATTCTCTCGAAATTTCGGCAACCTCCCGATGTCTCCTCCCCACCGAGGAAAAAATCGGGACGGCATCTACCAAAATTTCTTCCTATCTAGACCCTCAACGTCGTAGGATCTTCGAATTAAAACTACCCCACCATGATCAAAGATCGACTGTGTGAAGTCTTCGAATTTTTTTTTCGGGACTGTTTGGTTGCCTGAAAAATAAATGCAGTGTAAGGTAAATGCAATGTAAAGTAAATGCAATGCATTCTAAATACTTTGAGCTTATTTGGTTGTATGCAAAATAAACGCAGGAGAATTGTTTCTCTTGTTTTGTTAGATATATTCAGAGTAAAGTAAAAGTATTTTTTGTAATAATTTCTTTTAGCATTAAAATAAATATATTTATAAAAGCAGTGTATTTATAATAATTTGTATTATTTGATGTTATAAATTTTTTTTATATATTTAATTTATTTCAACTAATATTTCCATTATTTCACAAGGAAAAAAGTTTTGGGCAAGGATATTATGATCCAACTTGTGATCAGAATAAATTTCAAAAAATTAAATCTGTTTTGATATGAATGTGATATATGACTAAACATTCAAATTTTGTATTTTACTCGACTCAAAATAAATTCAATGACTTTGAAATACATCGTGATTAAATTTTGATTTGAATATTCTGACCAAAATACTTTTAGCCAAAACAACAAAAAAAAACTGAAGCATTCTTAAACAAACATGTGCACTTGCAGCCTGTGCATTAAAACTAGTTCATATAAAAAACTTGTTTAAATTTCATAACCTCCTATCTTTCTTTTGTTTCAAAAATGTAGTTTACCTCCAAAAGCAGCACTAGCTCCAGAAAACAAAAGAAGAGATGGAACCTGTTAATAAAAAATAGGCATCTTGAATACTCATAAGTTAAAATAATGGCTGAGAAATTATATGAAATTTCATAACATAAATCACATAAATCAAAATACATCCACATATGGGGGGAAGAAAGCTAGAGGTTTCAAACTGCATGATTCACTATTTATTTAATTAAGGATTCGTTTGGAGCTACTTTCTTACTGCTTCTTAAAGCATCTTTTTAGTATAAAAATTTTAATTTTTAAACTAGAAAGCTATTTTAAGAAGCAATAAAAAAAACTGTCACAAACGAAGCCTAAATTATATGGACAATCAGATAAAAGCACACACATGACACATTGTGGCACACAAAATGCTAAAATAGGCCATTTGTGGAAATCTCATACATTCATACCAATTTTGGTTAAAAAGCCAAAATTGGAAACTTCAAATAATATGCTAACACTGCAAAATTTTGTCATCAACATGGAAAAATTGAAAAACCTTGCAGTTCAATTTGAGTTCTTCAACAAGAGAGATATTTTTAACATACAACTACATGATATACAACAATTATAAATTAATTTGCAGCACAGTTGAACAAGTCATGAACAAACAGCTCTCAAGATCAAATAATACAATTTCTTGAATTTTAACTTTTATTCAATGCAATGTCATGGTATATACACCGTTAAAAAGAGTTTACAGCAATGAACAACACTCTGCATGTAAACTAAAGTTCTGGGTGACAAGTTATGCTTACAGTTAACTTAGCATCTCTGTTCTAATAAAAGAATTCCCAAAATTGTGAATAGAACTTTGAAATTGTAAATGCAACCCCTTAGTGTTGTCTTTCTTCAACATTACTTTAACATGGACAAAGAAAGATCTGGTTTAATGCACATTATGCTTCAACCACAAAAAAGTCTTGTTCAAAATACAACTACATGATTTACAGCAATTATAAATTAATTTGCAGCACAGTTGAACAAGTCGTGAACAAACAGCTCTCAAGATCAAATAATACAATTTCTTGAATTTTCCCAATATTGCTTTAAGTTTATGTTGGTACTATGATAAGTCTAGCCATATAATGAAAGAACGTGGGAAAAAGAAGCTGTGGTTTTTTTCTATGCAAGATTGAAAATTGAAATAAGAAAATTTTATTCAATTAAAGATCCCACATTTATATGCAACATGCTTTGATATTTATCAGCATTAAACTGCCCTTTGATTTTTCATGATATTCTGTCCTTTGCACAAGAAGCACCGTCATCCATTTCTCTGATAATTTCTTTAGTTGCAGGGCTGCCTCATTCGTGAGATCGAGCCTGTCTACCCGCCGGAGAACCAGACTAAGTTCGCCATGCCTTAATACGTCATTAACTACTCCAAACTTCGAATCTAGAATGTAAGGCTTCGTAAACTATTAATTGATTTATTGTCAAAAACAAGCTTCGTAAACCAAGTGTACGACAATATCGACCATCTCTTCAATTTACCGGACGGCCACTTCTACGCGGTGCTGGATTGCTTCTGCGAGAAGACCTGGAGTAACTCTCAGCAGTACGAGATAGGCTATTGCCAGCAATGCCCCGATTGCCGGCCATGGCCTGTTGCTGAGCTCGGACCTCCTCCGTCTCTGTATTTCAACGCGGGGATGTTCGATATATATCTCAGGGGCGGCGGAAAACAAGTCCGGTGGGATGACGTGAGGTGGAGGATGCTTTTGTCGAAGGAGCCGAAGAAGCTTCTCGTGCAATGAAGCCGAACAGCACGCCGATGATAGGTACGTGAATGAAGGCGTTGCTGACAAAGAGGTTGGAGCGAGAAGGCCGGACTTGAGGGCGACGGAGTGGAGCTGCTCGCCAGAGCGAACTCTCTCCGGAGCTGCTTGCCGGAGCGAAGTCGAACAAGAACGAAGGAGCCGAAGAAGCCTATCGTGCAATGAAGCCGAACAGCAGGACGATGAAGATTTTCTTCCGATGAATTTATAACCCGCTCAATACGAGCGGGTTTCTAATTCTATTATTATTATTATTATATTTATATATATAACATATATAATATATTATAAATATAATATATAACATTAAATAATATATTATTTATAATATAAGAGCGGAATAGAAGAGACGAGAACGAGACATAGAGAAGCTCGATCGGGCATGGAGGAGGGCTCGGTCACGCACTGGTTGGAGCTTGCAGGCGTCGGAGTTCAGAGGAGGCGAATCCAACAGAGGAGTCGAAGAAGCAAGTCGTGCAATCTCCGCACCTACTGTGAATAAGCAAAGACGAACAACAACGAAGCCGAAAAGCGAAGCCGAAAGACGACGGGGAGCCGAAGTCGAACACCAACGAGCGAGCCGAAGTCAAACATCAAGAAGGAACCGGACAAGCGAATCGTGCAATCTCTGCTCTTGCGAAGGCACGAAGTCGGACAACCACAAGGAGCGGAAGAAGCTACTCGTGCGATCTCTACCCTCTGCGAAGCAACAAAATCAAACATAAACGACGAAAGGAGAAGATGAAGGGCAAGCCCTAGACTCCTCTTGTGAAGCAACGAAGTCGAAGGAGCAAATAAGCGAGCGTAAGTGTCTTTTTCTCTTTCTCTAGATTTCTTCCTTTTTATCGCTTTGGATTGTTTGATGGAAGTTACTATACGAAACAATGCTTCATTCGGAACTTTTATTACATCAGTGAACATACGGTTTTAGATCAAAACAGCGCAATACCGAGTTTTTTTAAAAAAACTCGGTACAACTCGGTACTCGGTATTGCGCTTTTTTTGCCTAGATCCGGACGTAGAGGAGCGTACGTTCACTGGATAAAATAAAAATTTGTAAGACGCTTAACTGCTCGGTGTGGGGCCAACTTGGAAGGGATGCATTGCTTCGTTTCTTCATTTCCTAATTTCGTTTCTTCTTTTTTTTATATCAGTCAACAATCTTTTATGAAATATTGTAAACATTGACATCACACTGATAATTGACTTTATATAGACCTTTTGAATTTATTTTGACAGCTTAGAATTGTTATTTTTAATTAAAAATAAAACAAAGTTAAGTTAATATTAATAATAATTATTTTCCACATAGGAGGTAGGAAAATAAGATACCGCTATCATAGTTCGCACAACTATATTTGTTTTAGAAGAAAGTTCCTCAAGCCTTTGTTTGGCTTTGAAAGAATTGAAAGAAAATGGGAATAAAAATGACAAACGAATTTAATTGAAATTATTTTTCTTAGAACTTGGAAGAACACTAGAAATTGCAAGAACGCATGTGAGTAAGAACAATGATCAAACTTTTTTTTTCTCATTCTATACTAAGATTGTGCGAGGAATAGTCAAGGAAGGACATTCTGATGTGTTTTACATCAAATGTAAACAAAATAATTGCATTGACACTTAATTTATGCTAAGATTGGGTATTGCATTTTATAAGTGTATATGTTATAAAAAAAGTTATATAAGAATATTCTAATTTGTTTTATATCAAGATGGACTTCAAAACTTATAAATTTATAATGAGATTAATATAACCTTTAAATATTATATGTAGTATAAATCTAAACCCTAAAGCTAAGAACATAGAAACACATCTTAATGCAAAACATACAACAACAAGAACAACAACATCAACTCTTTGTCCCACGACGTGGGGTCGGCTACATGAATCTTTTTTCATCATTGTATTATGTTAAAAGTTTAAGTTTTGTTTAAATCTAATAAAGAAAGATCATTTCTAATACTTTCTAACCAAGTCTTTTTAGGTCTATCTCTACCTTTTCTTAACATAAGTCAAATCTAATACCTCTACTTTCCTAATCAGGTCATCGAAAGACCACCATTTTATGTGACCAAACCATCTAAGACGACTCGCTCTAATCTTATCTTCCACTAGAGCTACTCCAACCTTTTCACGTATATGCTCATTTCGTATCCTATCTCTAAGGGTAAAGCCACTCATCCACCTAAGCATCCTCATCTCTGCAACACTTAACTTAGTATTATGCTTCTCTTTTAATGGCCAACATCTTAATGAAAAACATTAAAAAAAATTAAATAATAAAAATCTTAATGCAAAACATAACACGATAATTTTACATAATTTCTTGCTATATATATATATAATATACTCATCAATCTTCTTACAAAACTGAACAAACCTTTATACATGTGTGTTTCCCATTAAACTAAACATATGATGCATGTACGATATAGGGTTTATGTTATAAATTTGTTGCAAATTAAAAGTATGATATGCCAACTTTTTGAAAAGCAGAAGAAAAGTGTCATAAAACAAACTAAGGTTTCATTTAAGGTAACTTTATTATTATTTCCTACAACAGTTTTTAGTTCAAAATTTTGTTGAACTAAAAATTTTTTAACTAAAAAGCTATTTTAAAAAAATAGCAAGAAAACTATTCCAAACGAAGCTCGGGTACCACAAAAAAGTGGCAGATACACACCTATTCAGCCATTGAAGAAGCTACAGTTCTATGGCTATAAACAAAAAAAGCCTACCATCCAAAATATAATCCATGCTCTTCCGTCTTTTGACAACTCACAATTACACAACTACTACAATATTCTAAAAGAAAGAAACCTAAAGGGTTTTGTTGAGGGAAACAATAAATGGTTGCAAACTCAAATTCAAGCATGAGACAATCATAATGAATCATGAATTGCACTGATTAATATACATAGGGGAAAGGTCCTCAGAATTAACATGCTACAACCCACTAAGGCTTCATTTGAGACAGTTTTTTTACTGCTTTTTGAAGCAACTTTTTAGTTCAAAAATTTTAATTTTTTAACTAAAAATCTCCTTCAAGAAGCAGTAAAAAAGCCATCCCAAACTAAACTTAAGTGACAAGCTCGCAGGAGAAATTCCCAAAACCAATACATTCATCATGATGAAAGATGATGCATTAGATCTGCTCTCTAAGTAGAAATCAAGCACCATCGTTTTGTCAATGACATCCCCAAGCCTCAAGAAACACAGAAGATATTATGAATCCAAGTAGCCTGACCTTGAAGAAGAAGAAGATTCACCCAGAGAGACAGATGCGAAGGAAGATGCCCATTTCCTAGCACTCTTAGCCCACGCTGGCTGTCGACTACCTAACGCAACCCTCCACTTTTCTCATCCAGGACTTGGGACCTGGCAACGGCATAGAACATGAAGAATATGGTCTTGCCACCTTCATCTCCTAGCACTCTTAGCCCCTTTATCAAAATTTATTTTTTTGTTTGAGAGTCGAAGTTTGTTCCATGCTTTCTTCATGTTAATTACATGAAGAACACGCCAAAGGGGTTCGCTCATTTCACTAAAGCAGCGCAGTTTCATTTGGTGGCGAGCATAGAACATCCGTAAGGTTTTGAGTTGGGAGATGATCTTAAAGACGAAATAAACAAGTGACCTTAAGATAACGAAAAGTATAGAAAATGCTAGATAGGGTTCATTGTTTATGAATTCTCTTGTTGGTATCCTCCATAGCAGGACAACCTTTCTCTTTTCCTTGGCCTGGTCCTCAGAGAAGTATACAACTGGATCTTGGCCTATAACAATGCATCTACATTAATATGTATTCCTAACGAACTTGGAATGGTTAAAAGAAAACCTGACATTTAGCACCAACAACAACATTAAGTTTTTATCCCACTATGTGGGGTAGGCTACATGAATCCTTTTTCTCCATTGTGTCATGTTCTAAGTTAAATTCTAATTTAAATCTAATAAAGAAACGTCATTTCTAATATTTTCTAACCAAGTCTTTTTAGGCCTATATCTACCCTTCTTAACATAAGTCAAATCTAATACTTTCATAACCGGGTCATCAGAAGACCGCCATTTTATGTGACCAGACCATCTAAGGTGACTCTCTCTAATCTTATCTTCCACTGGAGCTATTCCAACCTTTTCACATATATGCTCATTTCTTATCATGTCTCTAAGAGTAAAGTCACTCATCCACCTGAGCATCCTCATCTTTGGAACACTTAACTTAATATTATGCTTCTCTTTTAATGGCCAACATTATGCATCATAAATCATTGCAGGTCAAACCACCATCTTATAGAATTTTCCCTTAAGTTTGGGGGGGACATTTCTATCACACAACAAGGCCTATGCATTCCTTCACTTCAACCATCCAACTTGAATTCTACTAATAATATCCCCATCTATTTCACCATCACTCTGAACAATAGACCCAAGATATCCAAAACGTGTACTCTTCTTAATTACTTGATCACCCAAAATCACAATCCCCCCACTAGAACTATTATTACTAAAATTACATTCCATATATTCACTTTTAGATCTACTCGAAGGAAAACCTTTAGACTCTAAGGTTGAGCTCCATAATTCAAGTTTACTTTCAACTCCCTCTCTATTTTAGCACCATCTTACAAAAATAAAAATAAGATGCCGTACAAATTTAGAAGAAAAAGAACTTCACAAATTCTCTGGCCATTTGACAATGTCCTATTACAGTATAAAACATTAAATGTAAACAAAACTATTGCATTGACACTTGAAAGAGGGAGCCAACCTGTAGTTTCCCTGTAGAACGGAACTAGTGAATCAAGATCTTTTGAGCCGTGATATCTAATTATTGCAGTTCTGTTGGCTAAGAAGATGGATGGAAAACTGTGGATCCCATATCATGAAAAGGCACTGCACGAAAATAGAGGGGAACAGGAAAAAAAATTAACTTTATGTAAGTGAAAGACTTTTAAAATGCATCATTCGATAGATAAAAAGAAAGGCATTCACTGTTCATCCATGTACCTAGGCAAAGCAGAACTCTCTTCAACTGTTAAATGCCTTATTTTTGGAAAAATGGAGCTCAGTGCATCAAAAATGGGTTGAATATTCTGCGAGAATGGACACCATGATGCACAAAAGAGAACAGAATTAAATCTACCATGCTCAACAGGAACCAATTCTTTATCAAGAGTATCACTATTAGCCTGTAATTGTCACGCAATATGTTAATATGCAGCATAAATAAAAAAGATATGAACTTCCTTTTTATGTTGTAAGGCATGTGAACTAGTTCAGGGTGGACTCCATTTTCAGTAAAAAGATCAAATATAGCTATCACAGCCTACGGGCAGCCTTTGTAAAATGCTCGGCCAACAGTGAAAAAACAATCAAAGATTACTATCAACGAACAAAATAATCAAAATTATGATGATGAATATATGATAGCAAGCAAAATACTAGAATAAAAAAGCAAATAAAGAGCATGGCCAAGCCATTGTTAAACACATTCTGTGAAGCAGCTAAAAGTAATATTCGAAACTCCAACCCATCAGAGAATTGAGGACTATATACAGTCTACTTTGAAACATCAGGTAGATGTTTTCAACCTAAATTAGTAGATGAAATCATCAGGATAATGTTGTTCTCCAGCTACACGGTTAGAAAGGAAACGTTGTAATGTATAGCTGTTAGTTGTAATGCATTTAAACCTTAAATGATCATGTATTTCTTGTATTTAGTTCCTTCTAGATTTTGAATGAAGCCTTTTTTGAATTCAAACACACCATTACTATATCATCATGTTAAACATCACATAACTCTTATTCATAATAATAGAAAGCTTATAAATGTGAATGCCCTCATAAAAATCACGCAAACTTTACAAATGATATAAAAGTAATGAAGATAGTACAAAACTAATATGCATCATAAGGAATACTAACAGTATCCAATAGCTCATTTATAGAAATAGAGAGATTAAAGAAATTAATAGCAGACAAACCGCACAAATATGATATTTCTATGTAGACAAACAACCTTCTCGGGAAAAAAAAAGTATTGATTCAATTTCAACAACATCATATAAGATTAAAATTGTAGTTGCAGATCATATTTTGCATCTAGTACCTCTACAAAAGAATATTCACAAACAACAATATCTTCAATAATATATCCAATAACACATGATTCTTGTGTTGGTTATTATTCGGCATGCTTAAGAGGAGATGGAACTGATTTTTTTAGGAATATGAATGTTAGACCGGTCCAAGGAGGACCGGTCCAGCCGGCCCAGCCTCTTGGGCCGGCTCATCTCGTTTACTCCAGGAGGAGCCGGCGGAAACAAGCAGAGGAGAAGGGGTGGGGGGGTCCACTTGAAATTTGAGTTGATTCTTGGAGCCAAAAGGAGGGGAAACAAGGGTAATTAGGTCCTTTTGTATTAGATTTGAATTGTATGCATTAAGTAGGGAGAAAAGAGGGGAATTAGGGTTATGTCATGCTTGGTGAGAGTTTCTTTTGTCTTCTTGGATAGTGAGGGCTCTAGATCGAAATCTAGATATTGGGAGAGTGCGATCCTCCTCTCGAATAGAGGATCCTTGTATCTTTGCTATTTGTTGCATCTACTAGAAAAATACAAGTCTTTTCTCCATAACTTCTACAATTTTTCCCTATTTTTCTACTGTTTTTGGCTGTTTTTCTGCTGTGGACAGCAGTTTTCCCTTGGATCTACTTGGTTTTGGTGAGAAACACTTGGAAATCCAAGTGTTTCCTATCAATGAATCACAAGTGTGAGTCATAATGGAATGCTCTAAGATAATTCTGAACCTAGATAAAGCCTTGAGTATTATTTTTGACGACTTGTAGCTTAATTCTTCTCTAATTTTTGCTCGAGTTTCTTAGTGAAACTAATAATGGTAACATATTATCCCAAAGCCAACTAATATTTATCAACAAGACCCTTAAAGAGCATAATGTTCAAACAGTGTATGCTTATCTTGTTTACAATCTTTAAATTAATCATATAGTAAATTTTTACATTCGGTAAATAATAAATAATGGTATATAAGTATAATATATTTCATATCAGACCATCATGACTTAGTAGCAAAACTTCTCCAAACTAATTGAATATATCTCAATAATTTTGATTTGGCATATTCAACTCTTTGGAAAACAGACGTGTTGTATTCTTAAAAAAAAAAAATCCAAATTATCAATCCAATTTACAAGTCTTTTAGAACTATAGTTTAAAAAACTTTGCTTAAAATTGCATCTTTGGTTATTTTTTAATTGACACAATTAAATGTCCAAGTTGAAGTTAGCATGATAATGTAATCATAAGCTCTAATAATAATTTTGAAGTAGGACAATTTAGGGTTTAGAGCTCCTAATGTAATAGGAATGATGCAATGAATAATATAGATCATGCAAGAAAAAATAAAATTCATAGCTTAAAGATCACTAATTACTCAAAAGCTTACTTCCTTTAGACACAAATCAAAAGATACGAGAATGAAAACTAAAACAATAATTAAATGATCAAATAAATCCAAAGAAATCAACAAGAAATTAATATCACATAAAATTAACAAAAAATTACATTGTTTCCATCATAACTAGAATCCTAGTTGTATCAAATTTGAAAAAAAAAATCAAGAACAATAACAATATATTTAGAAGAACTTGGGAAAACGAATGGTTTTTGCTCAAAGAAGAATATTTCATGCCTTACGTCAATACAAGGGGATGAACTCAAAAGTAATCACACTTATACCACATTGAAGGCGTCACATATCCAATATGCACACACAAGATTTAAAATTGATACAAGAAACTTTACCAAATCAATGTTAACTAATTACATGTCTTAAAATTCCTATTTATAGGCATCTCATTCTAGGTTGATATCCTTAGAATTGAAAACCCAAAATATCAGTGGCGAATATCTCGTCTAAACAACAATATACCTCTACTATATTTGAAGTCACGTAGCTCAAATGCATGCAACAGTCTCAAACTCTAGTGTTTGTAATGAATAAAAGTCAAGTAACTCAAAAAACTTCATCACCCGTAAAACACAAATTTCCACACAAAAAATTGAAAAGCCTATTCCAGGATAACTATGCACATTTCAATCCGACCAACTGAAAGGAGCAATGAACAATACCCTAGCCAACATTAGCTACATTCTTGCATCATCAGTTCCATCCAATTATACATCTAGGAAATAACATATTTATCAATGCCAAGTTTCATGATGAAATCAAGAATTGATTTTAAGAACAAAGTTGAATTCAAAGCTATGAAAATTTATCCTACGATTTCAACTACTGGGTTCAAAAACGAGTTACAACTATAAATTTCAAAACTAAAAATACGTCCACAATCAGAGCTTCAGGATGTTGATCCGGATGCTTATTTCAAAGCATTAAAATCCCTTGGATTCAAATCTCCAATCAAGCCTTCCATCTACAAAAACAGTCAATGAATCAACGACCATGTCCTAGCTTATTGAGTCGTCAGTTAGATGTTCTTATCCAGATCGATTAGTATGATGGAATGGGTATATGAACTACAAATAGGATGAAGGAGATGAACCAAAAAACCAAAATCTTGGATTCAATCAGTACATAGTTATTTATCATTAAATGTGCGTACTGGAGAAATCTTAATATCTCAGCAAATCTCAAAGTACATAAAAGTTAAGGGTAAAAGCCAATTAAGTTTTAGTTCATTCCAGTCAGATACATATAGATTATTTGGTTTCAAGTTCCATGATCAGAATCAATATCTGAATTTTCAAGTAGCACGTATCCTGTAAAGAGTAGGATTTGTCTCAATTCCAAATTATTCGAATTTCCTAACGTATTTGAACTATTAGATTCAAGAAACGTATATAAATGAAAATTTAAAGACTAAAAATGGGAGCATAATCTGAGGTTGGCGGAGTTGGATTTTAGCTCTCCCATTTGACCATTAAAATATTAAATTCCCTGGGGTCCAAAACTCCAAGCCAACTTTTAACCACCAAAGGGTTGAAAAATTGGAGAACAGGTTCCTTAGCTAATTTGAGTCATCAGGTAGATGTCGGTCTCAATCTATTGCAATTGTAGATGAAATCATCAGGTAGATAATGTCCTCCATTTCTGAAGAAGGAACAACTTCCCCCCAAAACACAACAAAAAAACAAAATCTTGGATTCAATAATAAATAGTATATAGTTATTCAAAATGAATTAAGAAACCTTACATCCCATGAAAGATCAAATGAGAAACTTGTAAATTCAGTAAAAGAATCAAGATCCGCTTTTTCAAAAAGCAAGTATTGATGCGGACATCTGCATGAAGATTTGGCGCATCTATCACAGGCGGCGTCGTAAATCAACGGCTATAATTTAATTTGTCATTTATGAGTTATTTTATGAATTTTTGCTCTTGTTTTATGTTATTTCCTGTTTTACCCCTAGGTCAGTTTATGTGAGTGTTGTGGCCCAAGGGGCATTATTGTAATTTTAGATTTTTCTCATATTGTGGCCTATATATAAGACCTTAAGCTATTGTAACGAGGAGGAATTATTGATATGAAAAATTGTTTTCCACACTTGTGTTCTTCTTGTGAGAGAGCGTTAGTGAGATTCCTATGAGAGGAATCGAAGTCTTCACCTGCCGCAGGATAGGTCCGGGCTCGTGAATTGAAGTCCCTAGGAGAAGGGCAAAGCATCACCCGTCAGTCTACGGAAGAGTCCAAAGGCTCGCGGTCTTTATCATGTATTTTTCATTTAATTTCTCTCTTTCGTTTTTATCTTCGATCTTCTATTTTGGTTTTTGTTTTCTTGGTTTCGTCTTTGTATTCCTTGTCGTATTGCTCCTCGTAGTCATCTTTTCCTCCTCCCCCAAATTCACGGCCAAACACCCCTTTGGATGCCGCCAGCCCAATCTCTAGCCGCCGGCCACCATCCACCACCTCATCCCAATTGAAATCCTTGCCTAATTTGGGTGGACATATTGTGGGATGATTTTAAATTCAAACTCATGTATTTTGAAATTCGAAATCTTTCCTAATTTATCAATCTATTTTAGGAAAGTCTTTAAAATTCAATCAATTCAATTTATGATTGATTGGGATTTTAATTTTTCTTTCCTAATTTACAACTCCCAAATTAACAAGCAATAAATAATTGAGTCAATCCCCCACAACCTCATTACTGCTGCCGTCCATCACTCTTGGGCTTGGATTAGGAAACTCTTCCTAATTTCTGAGAACTTTGATTGACCAAAATTTCCAAAGGCTAAAGCCATTCATAACTTTCCAAAACTGAGAGTGAAGTTAGGAGTTAATTCTCTAATTTAACTTTTCAATCCCGTAACTCCCTCCTGGCTGTAATTCCCTCCCCCCAAATCTTTCCACTCCCAAATCAATTCTCTGATTCTGGAAATAGAAAATCTATCTTCAGATTTTCTATTTTTCCCACATTCTCCTGCTGAAAATTTTCTCAGGTTTTGAATATGAAAACCTGAAGAAAATCCTTGCTTGGAAACAATTCAGAATTTTCCTTAATCTCAGCCTAGCCGAGATTTCCTTTCACCCCTTGGCACTAATTTATTTCCTAAATCTCGATAGTGGATTTAGGAAATAAGAGCCCAATCCACCTCCTTATCCCACCGGCTCCTTTCTCCCTATTGCTGTGCTGTTGAAAATTCTCCACAAGTGCAGCCCATCACGTTGGAAAGATTGTCCAACCCTATTAGGGAATATTGGAAAGATCCTCCTTACCGCCACCCTCTAATTGAATTCTCCCAAAATCTGTCCACGGGATATTGCCTTTTCTCTGCTGCTGGATTGCTCAAGTTCTACATCAGTTTTCTCTACAAATTAATTCCAACATCTGGCCACAATCAGCCGCCTCCTCCTTAATGGTGTTGCTTGATTTTGTGAGACATTTGGAGTTTGTCCATCTTCCATAGCAAAGCGGTATCCGTTCTACATCAGGTATCCAAGAAGGAATATGCATCAAGTTCTTAATTACAACCTATAAGAAGTCCAAATTATCTATAGTTTCAAAACTTAAGGTTTGCTTCGACAGCTTTTTTAGCCGCACTGGAATTTGGTTACTATTTTATTGTTGCTTCTCAGAAATTTCTCTTGTGGGAAGCAGCTTTTTACAATCAAATATGCTATAATGTGGTAACTATAAGACAACTATTGTCTAACATTCAAAGAAGAAAATATTTATGATATCCACATCACAGCAATTTAAAAAAAATATATATATGATTTATTTTCACAACATCATGACAATAACCTTTATAAAAAAAGTTATTTTTGTTCACATCATCTTTATAAAAAGTTGTGGCAGCCCCAAACAGGACCCTTAATGAGTTCAAAATCCTAGCTCTGTTGAGTAAGAAAAAGCTGCACATTTTTAACTATTGAAATCATTTCATTCAACCCAGGAATCAAACAAAAAACCATATTTCAGCTAATGAGGTAACAATAGCAGACGGTCAAATTTTCATAATAAATTTGACATCGAATTAAAATAGGAAATTCAAGGGAATATTAAATGTCCGCAATCAAGCTTGCTCGGTTCTCTTTACAAGCCTAAACTTAAAAGGGAATATTTAATTTTTCTGTACTATTTTTAAAATATAAAAACTATAATAATGTGTCCAACCGATGTCCGTGTCCTATATTTTCAATAATTGACGTGTCCCGTGTCCGTGTATGTGCATCATAGGTGAGGAGCCTTTTCCTACTTAGTCCATAACTTCAGGAATGCACTGAAAACTGTTGCTCTACATATCTTTCGTAATATTTTGTTGTGATCAGATAAAAATTGCTTCTTCAAATGTTTTTTCCGTCACTACAGTTCTCACCTCAATTGGAGTTTTTTCTTTTAACTTTTGAATGTCTGAAGTTTTTACATGTATTTGAACCTTGATATTGATGGGGACATCAATACGAGGTTTCGACGTGTCTATTAGAGACGACACAGGAGATCGATGGCCATGATGGAGAGTCTTTACTTTTGATGCATTTTATGTATTAGTCATTTTAATTTTCAATTTTCGTTTTTGTCCTTATGGGTAGTTGGTCACTATTATAGCCCCAGGGGCATTCTTGTCTTTTGTTTTTATTTGTCATTATGAAGCCTATATATATGGCCACTCTCTTATGTATTAGATGATGAATGTTTAATGAAATTTTACTTGTTTCTTCTTCTTATTGCATGAGAGCTAGAGAGAATGGAGAGAGCTCAAAGTGAGCAATTGCAAGGTCCACTAGTCGTTGGAAGAGTCCGCGGCTCGTGGTTTTCTCCTTTATCGTCATCTTCTCCACCTCTTCCCTCACTCCCACCCGCCGGCCTCCATAACCCCGTCGCCGTCCAAGGCCACCACCAAGCTCACCACATAATTCCCTCCTTCCCCATGCCCACCGTCCACTAGCTCCACCACCTAACTCCATCCACCATCCAAGG